TAAAAAACCTACAGATATTATGATTATTATTTTCATTTGATTTTTATAAAGTTCGTTCATGGATAAAGTGCAATCAAACTAATGCTATTGGAGAAGAAATTTGTTTTCAGGGTGTTTTCCGCATGAAATCAGCTACCAAAATAATCTATCGAAGGGGGCGAATGTCAGTATCATATTGAATCTTCTTGTGTAGTGATTAAATGACAGAAAATTATTTCTAAAGTGTTTTCAAACTTTAGAGAAAAACCGGTTGGAAATTTTTTGTCTCTTAATTAACTATTCAATTAAGTCGAAAAATTAACTCGAATTTCCAATTAGTCAACAAATAGCAAGCATCAGTTATCATCTTCTCCAATGAAGGATTACAACTATGAAAACCTTCAGGTACGTTGTAGCGCTCTTTTAAGGGTAATTACACAATTTTTTTCAAATTGAAAATGTGTTCAAACGACTTGCGCTAATAAGCAATTTTTAAATCAATTTTGCGTTCTTGAGCGCTAAACAATTTTCAGCCAAATTATTCTACATTCGAATAACTAGGCTGAAGCTCTTTCAGCCCTCAAGAACGCAAAAGTTGATTTAAAAATTGCCTATTAGTGCAAGCCTTTCGAACACCATTTCAATTTAAAATCATATTTATCAAACGGAGATCGGATGAAAGTACCTTTTAGCTTACTTGTTATTCATTACATCTCCTTTTCAAACCTAATCCATCATCAGTTTAAGTCTTCCTAGTTTTTCGAAAAAAAAAACAATTCACCCAAACAGCATTCATTAAAGAAAACTTTAAACAATTTCCATACATTGTTATTGTTGTGTAAATTTTCAAATCACAACCTGTAAGAAACAACCAATAAGAAACAACCAATAAAAAACAATCAGAGCTCAAAAAGTTTTGATAATTTTAAAAAACTTGAAAAATTTTCAGTTTTTACATTCTTAAATTAAAAAAACCAACATCGTTCAGATTGACAAAAAAATCAAATTTCATGAAAATCAGTTATTTATTTACTTTAGTTTGTGAAAAGTGATAAGGTTTAACAGTTCCTTTTGAAGATCAAAAAACAACGAGACATCGTTTTTCAATAATAAGTTTTGTAGCCTGTTATCAATGTTTAGCCTGTGAAAAAAGCCCATGGAAAAAATGCTTGTCATACAATTTCATACTATGGGTAAAATATGCTTTTGGAAAAAATGCTTTTGATGCTATTTTCATCCAATTTTGTCGATAAAAAGATAGATGAAAAAAGCTCAATTTTTAATTCCAGTGTTTGGAAAAAATGCTTGTTATTAAGTTTCATAGTAAGGAAAAAATGTTTATTTTGGTATTTTCATACATACTTACTTTTGCACAATAAAATTGTATGAAAGAGTATGGCAAGCCTTTTTTCATCAATGAAAATTGTATGACAAGCATTTTTTGTCAATCCGGGATCGTGGTGAGTTTTGTTTTTTTGAGCAAATGACATTTCTCCTTACGGCTTCATAGGTGATTTATTATCATAAGTTGGCAATTTCATAACCCCCAAAAATTCAGAAAAATTGGTCATTTATCAGTAGTTTTTAGATAATGCAAGAAAATACCCGAAACGGCTAGCTCAAAGGGGCGAAGTTCGATTGGAGAAACAAAACTACCCGGATCACAAAATTTCTGTCATTTTCTGCGAAAGTCGAAACAAGAAAACTTCTTATGTCGGGGCAATTCTATGAGTATTCCGACTAGCCACTAAGGTATAAGATGTAGTTTTTGATAATAAAATGGTAGAAAATCTCGTTTTTTCCAAAAATCCTTCTCCTCACGATGTAGAAAATCAAAAATTTCGCAGCTATCAATGCAAAACTTGGATAATTTAGCTTGTCTTAATCCAAATTTTGATCAATTTTCAAGGTGAATTGATATTCTTCTTAGATTTCACAGTATTCAACCTTCGGGATTAAAACATCAATAGCTTTCAGATGATATAAATAATCCCGTCAAAAAATGGCGAGCTGAAGGTCAATTCTTGGCTGATGAGAAGACAACAACAAGCAAAAAAACCTTATTTTTTCAAAAAACGGCAAAGATTGCGTTTTCATATCAAATTACAGAATATAAAAAAAAATTATCTTTTTTAATGATTGTTTTACCAATAGACTTTCGGCGTGAAAATTTGAAGTCGATTAGAAAAAACTATATAACCCACCAAAACTATAAGACCCAAAAGGTATTGCTACAAAGAGTCAGAACTTTGTTCAGGGCAGATTTGCAGTCCCAACCATAACCCTTACTCTCAGGATTTCAAATTAATTGCCTAAAAAAGTGTGCTTCGGAAAGTCAATTCACCACGCTCTTTTTTGTTTGGGACTTTTTCTAACCGTTTCGACAATTGTCGATTAATTTACACAAATTCATGCGATGATTACTGACAAGTTTTTGTTGCAGTGCAAATTTTGTTTTCTCCCTGCATACGTCCAAACTATGGTTCTCCCCGCAATTTTCCATATACCTTCAATGGCAGTTTCGGGATTTCTGTACTGGAAAACTTGGAGTGGGCTCCGACAAATGAAGCAAATGGATCGAAAAGAGCTTTTATCCAAAGCTTTTGGAATATTATGGATAGCTTGGGTTGTGATGGTGATGCCATATGTAGTGAAACAGGCCATTGCGGGCTCACCAAGAGACGGCCCTTCAGTGTTTTCCACAAATTGGGAATTTGGCCAAACAGCCTCAATGCAACAAATGATTGACAAAGTTTTTGTTGATAACATCAGATTTGAAGAAGATTACAAAGTGGAAGTAACCTCGGTAAAATCAACTGCATATCTAGCTTCTGTCTTCGCATTGGATGTAAGCCTGCGAACTCTCAAAATATCCTTCGGGTTTGTGAATTCGGTCATTCTGATTATTCTAATCAAGCCTTTCCACGAGCCCATTTTGAGAGCTATTGGAAAACTCTCTGAGAAATTGAAAACCATTTGATCACGACTGCGTGCCACTAACGCATGCGACTAATCACATTTGCATAAGATGACTAATTTGACCTTAATAAATGATTTCATCCACAACCTACAGCTGAACAAAAAACACAAAAAGTAATATTGATATTTTCTGACTTCTTTCATTATGTTGAAAAACATTCCTACTCATAATTTTGCTCACCCTGTCAATAGTTAAAGTGCTCAATAAAAAGATTTCTCATACTTTTTTTCTCAAATTGCCGAAGTTCCTCTGTCAGATCAACTAGTATGTCTGAAGTTTGCTCTTTGACAAAAGGAGGTACTTGTCTCTTTAAACTGAAAAAAAAAATTTCGCAGCCTAAAAAACACATCTCATCAGTCTTAATAACAATGAGCGTTTTACTTGTAGTCAACTCGAAAAAAAGTAAATCGCAAAAAAAATTTGATTTAAATACATTTTGTCATTGACATTATAGTACTGAAAACACTACACTAAAATGAAAAGCTAATGTTCTAAATGCGTATTTAATTTTAATTCAACCTGGGTTGACCTCCATTGCCCGAAAATGCTAATTATACAATTTCATAAACTAAGTCTATGAAAAAATACTAATTCAAACATTTTGCTAAAGCGGAGTCATCAAAGTTTCGAAGAATTTTTTTCTTGTTTTGGCAGATAAGTCGGTATATCCTCATAAAAAACGAAGAAATTTTTTGTCAAAAAATCACTAGTCATACAACTTCCACTTTGAAAAATCTATGACTACCTTTTTTTACGGCAAAAGTGGTTACAAATTACCTCAACATTTTTAAAATTATTATTAATCGCAAAACGAAATTTGTAATCAAATATGCATTTTGCAAAAATAAATAGCATGCAATTTGCGTGTCAAACTTGAAAAAAAAATTAATTTACGGTCCAGAAAACGTTCCGGGGCAAAAGAAACGCTTCTTGGATGGACCTGCTCTGATCGCAACAAGACCGAATCAACTCAGTGCCAATTACTCTAGTTCATTCGCAAAAACAATTAAATAATTCTTTTACCAAAAAGTACTCAATTGGATGAAATTGGAAAACACTGCGATTGCTGGTGATACTTGAATCACTTGATTGCTATAACGGTTTATTCATTTTCATAACTCTCACTGCGGAAAAAAGCCAATCTGTGGCCATAGCAAAACGAACAAATTTTGATTATGCGATGACGCTTGTTGCTCAAAAGTATCATCAACAGCTGTGTACCGTGCAGAAAATTGCAACAACAATTTGATTATCTTGAAAAGCCAGATCTTCCAATTGAAAGGCTGCAATCTACAAATCACTATTCCTTCGCACCTACTGGATTAGATTACATTGGACCCTTACTGGTTGTTCTACAAGGTAAACAGCACCCCGCGTACGATCTTCTCTCCACCTGTCATCAGAGCTGTTCATCTGAAAATTTCTTCAAGCCTCTCAGCTGACAGCTCTTTACACTGCATCAGATGCTTTTTTGCCCGCCATGGTTTCCGAGAATTTCTATCGCAGTAATAAATAAACGAAAATAAAAAAATTATTTCCTTTAAAAATGCTGTTCAAAAAATTATGATTTCTTCTAAATTGAGGAAAATCGCACCCAATTAAACAGCAGAACAATAAATGAGACCATTTTGAAATATAATTATTGACTTTAAGCTTTAAGGATGACTTGAAACAAAAATTCGTCGTAGAATCGAATTCTTTACTCTCTGCTAAATCAGATTTTTTTTCGTTAACCTTGATTCTGAATAGCACAAAATTCAGTTTTTTTGAGACCGCGGAAATTTTTTTGAAGTTTTCTTTTTCAATTAAAATCATGACCGCAAGGGTTTTGAATTGGTAGCACGCTTGACTCTCCAACAAATTTTCTTAGAAGTACCTAAAATTGCGCAAAAAACTATTCAACATGACGCTATAGTTCAGTCCCAATTCGTGACGTGAAAAGAGGCACATTTTTGAATGTGACATATTTGGACCACTTGAAGCGAGATCAAAGTTGAAAAGATACAAATTTGAATTGCAAAAAATTTTTAACTATAAGTTCTCATATCGAGTGTAAGAGATTGTGTTGTGACGTGGACGTCGGCATTTGTGCTCGTCGATGTTCGTGAATTGTTCTCAAAACAGTTGAGGATGTTGAGTTTCTTTGCAGCTGGTATCCTGTCGACCTAAACAAAAGTGACTCATCAAGAAACATCCATCATTAAAAATGAAAAGTTTCCGTTAGTCTCAAAAAGACATATATTCAGCTGCAAAACTCAATAAATTTGAAGCTTTTACCACTCTTAGTTTTTACAGCAACAAAATGAAAGAAAAATAAGAAAAAAATATGTCACTATGATATTTGTTCCGAATATTATTACCCTTTCATCCAGGTGCGGATCTAGGATTTTCTCGATGGGGGGGGGGGGGGGGTGCGTATTTTCAAAATTTGACCAAATTAATTTTCCGAGCTCTCCCAATGCAGTAAAAAGACGCTGCTTTTGCCAAATTTTCTGCGCCGCAAGCAAATTTTTGAAAAAACAGGTGAAAAAAGCCGTTTTTGGGTTTTTTTTTTGGAAAATTTTGACAAAAAAACCCGTTTTTTGGCGCGCTCTCCCACTCAAAGTTAGTGTATACTGGCGCCGATGGCGCTTTTAGAAAAATTATAGGTTCGGTCTTCCAAAAATGAGTTTTTTAAAAAGTACCAAAGGGGGACCCTTTGGGTTGGCAGGCAGGGGTGAATTTAAGGGGGGGGGGGGGGGGCGGGGCGGGATTGGACGCCCTCTTTCAGGGATTCGACCCCCTGCCGACCCAAAGGGTCACCTCTTTGGTACTTTTCAAGAAATCCATTTTGTTGACGGGCCCTAAAAGTTTTCTAAAGGCGCATTCGGCGCCAATATATACTAACTTTGAGGGGGAGCGCGCGCCAAAAAAAAGCGTTCTTTTATTCTGAAAGTTTTCCAAAAAAACCCAAAAACGGCTTTTTAGACCTGATGTTTCAAAAATTTGCCGGCGTAGTCTTTTTAGTGCTTTAGGAGAGCTGGGAAATCAATTTGGTCGATCTAAAAAAAAGGTCAAAATTTTCGAAATTTTTTTCAAAATCCGCCCCCCCCCCCTCGAAAAAATCCTAGATCCGCCCCAGGTTGGCAGTGGGTCGAATCCCTGACCTGAGAGAGGGGCCTCAAACCCTCCGCCCCCTAAATCTTCCCCTGCTTTCATCTCTCAGATTTTTTGAAGGAATTTTTGTAGGACTTTACATAAGAGAAAATGATGCGGAGTGATGACTTTGCGATAAGAACTCTCTCTTAACTTTCCCTCCATATTAACCAATGAATCCACTTATTTTTATCAGTATCTTTTTTGTCAACACTTAAGTTGTTTAGTTGATGACAATTCGTAAAAAACAAGAGTACCACAGTTCAAATAAAGGTAACCTCAATAGCACATATAGATATTTATAAACAACCGGTATTTACAGAAATATTTATGGTCCTGCAAGTGAAATATGGAAGGAGCGTTTTTCGTGTACGTTTTAGTTTTTAAAAAATTTTGTCTTCATAATCAGATACTGCAAATAAAGGTCGGACGTGGTTGAGTCAACATCAATTCAAAGATATTTTAAGTTTAGTCAGATTGATATGATAAACTTTTCCCAATATTTTTCAGTGTCGAGGAAAACCGGTGTGAAATTAGATTTGATATTCAGTCTAATTTACAGCGAGCATCCCCGCATCAGCAGAAGGAAAAACTTTTTGCTGAGCCAATAAAACACATTTTTTAACTTTTAGCTATGAAAAAGAGCTTTTACAGTTCAGGTTAGCTCTTTTCTAAAAGGTTCGTAAGGTCAAACTGAAAAAAAAAATCAAAACTATTTTATTATTTTCTCGTTTTTCATCAAAGGGATTTTATCAAGGGTTTTGCGCACCGAGCATCCATGGACCATAATCGATTATATTGTCCTAATATGGTCAGTATCTATAAAAAATACAAAATTATCTGTAATAATGCATCAAAACTGGATTATGATTCTCATTTTTATGCCAATATAATCCATTATCGTCGATTATAATCAAATATAATGGATTTTTTGAGAGGCTATTCAGGAAATTTTTATTTATTTTTTTCAAAGTAAAATCCTATCTTGTTCAGTGCAGTTCCTACGTAGTACGTTTCATAAAACGTTACATTTCACATTAAAACTTATATTTTTCATCTTTTTTTTTCAATTCATCGCAGTTTATAGCTTCATTTTACTGTTTTTTGACCAAAACCGTTTTTCGCGGAGAAAGGTTGGGGGTAAGATTTGAACGGTGTTAGGGGAGGGGAATTTATTGGTAAAAGTGAGGGGAGGTGGTTGATTGATTCAAAATTAGTAAGAGTCATGGCATACATTTTACAAAATTCTAATGGATTATAACGGATTTTTATTTCAAAAATAATTGATTATAATGGCAATATAATCGATTTCCTGGTCTGAACTTTAAAACTTCAATAGATTTTAATGGATTATAATGGATTATCTTTGTCACGGAATTCCATTATAATCGATTAGAATCCATCGGCGCTTGATGCGGGTTGTGCCGCACTCTCGTGTATCCTGTAAGACCTTACAAAAACCTGCTTCAATATCTGTAAATTATCGGCAATTCAACAGATAATATATAGAATAAGTAATATCGGTTAAACATTTTTCGGTTAACATTTTTAGCCATACGGTTTTCAACAATCTCAAAAATCTATAAACATTTTGATGGCAAACTGACCTTAATCGGACAAACCAGTAGTTTTCAAGGCCTTTTGTCTAAGCAAATCTAATTTTAGCTTTTTCACTTTCGCGCTATAATGACGTCATTAATTTAAGATTAATTTAAGCGCGAACATCTTCCGCGCCCAAAGGAGCTAAAACGGGTGCGAGTTTTACGGCCGGTCGAGTTAGCTCCCCGGAGCGGGTGGTAACTACGGCGGATCGGGCTATGTTGTCTTTTCCGTAATTAAGGGTTTTTATACGAGCCAGAGGGTAGTGTCCCCTTCGGCTGCGTTCGTCAACAATCCACACTAAATCACATGTTTTTAAAATAACGTCACTATCGGAGTGCCACTTACTGCGTTTATTCAGCGCTGGCACATAATCTCGCAGCCAACGACTCCAAATTGCGTTGGCGTAGCTTTGCGCTCGGATATATTGCTTTCGATGGTCGAAGTGCTCCTGGAAAGAGAGAGAAGGAAAGCTAGTACCATTTCGGCCTAACAAAAAATGATTAGGAGTTAACACCTCGAAACCATCCGGACTTGCACTTACTGATGTTATGGGTCGAGCGTTCAGTGATTGTTCTACAAGACAGAAAGTTGTTTCAAGGACTTCGGGAGTGATCTTTCTACTTCCTATTATTGCGTAGAATACCCTTTTACAACACCGAACGAGACGTTCCCAAGAACCACCGTGATGCGGGGCTGCCGGGGGGTTAAATTTCCACTTAATACCCTTTTTCGCCAGCTCTGGGGGTGCATGTCCATTCCACGACTGAATACAATTTAAGAGTTCTTTCTCGGCTACCACAATATTGGTGCCGTTATCAGACCAAATGACTGATGGAGTGCCGCGACGGGCAATGAATCTTTCGATTCCCATTACACACGAACTCGTGTCCATGGATGAGACAATCTCAATATGTACAGATCTGGTGGTCATACATGTAAAAAGGAAGCACCATCGTTTTTCAGAACTCCTCCTGATTGAGACGTAAGAGGGTCCAAAGTAATCAACACCACAGTTTGTGAAGGGAGGCTGGCGGTAACCAAGCCTTTCAACTGGAAGCTCTGCCATCATAGGTGTGACAGTTTTGGCTTTGCGCTTCCTACATATAAGGCAGTGGACTTCAATGGACTTTAATAAAGAGCGAAGGTTCAAGATTGCGAACTCTAAGTGAATTACAGCTCGCAGGTAGTCTAAGAACTGGTGCTGATAGCGATAATGAATATCACTTACAAACAATTTCACCAGAGAATGCCTTCCATCAAGGATTATGGGGTGTTTTGTGCCATATTCAGTTTCAACTAGGCGGCGAGTTCGCCCAGTTGAACAAATGAGGAATGCAGGACCCATAAACGGTGCATATTGTGCAATACGACTAGACTTTTTGACGGTTTTGTTGCAGGACAGTTGTAAATTTTCCGCTTCAAAAGATTCCTTTTGGGAAATCAACAAAAGTCGTTGTTTGGCGGTTTCTAATTCAACCGGATCGGTTATTTCCTTGAATTTAGTGCTGTAGTGCCGGTGTTTCGGACTAAGTCTGAGCATGAAGGCAACCACTCGCTGGAGTTTACGAAACGAGCTGAATTTTTCCCATGCAAATAAAATGGGTTGTTTTTGTTTTTGTGCAACGTTTGAAAAATTAGAGGCCTGCTGTAAACGTTCATTAAGGTCACAAGCGGGACCAGCCAGGCGGATTTTCTTAAGTATTTCTATGCTCGGCTTGAAAGGCCACTCGCTTCTTTTCAGCAGATTTGGCCCGTTCACCCAGCTGCTTGTTTTTAAAGACTCCGCTGAGATTCCTCTGGTTCCCGTATCAGCAGGGTTGTCTCCACTTAAGACGTGAAACCACTGGTCTACGGTCGTACTTTCCAGAATCTCTCCAATCCGGTTTGCCACGAACGTGGGTTGCTTACTACCTGAGTTTAACCACTGGAGCACAGTGGTGCTGTCAGTCCACATGAACGTGTTTGACACAGGAATGGTTAGAGCTTTGAGGACATCTTCCTTCAAACGGGTAGCTAGTAACGCGGCCTGCAGTTCAAGCTTCGTATGGAAAGCGCTTTCATGGGCGCGACTCTTGCTTTTCCAAAGACGAAGGCAACTTGTGTTTCGAGTGAAGTTTTCACACGGGCGCGAAGAAAAGCTACAGCACAAAAAACTTCTTCTGAGCTGTCACCGAACATGTGTAACTCAACCCAATCGACTGGTGCGGAGAAGTAGCTGCGCTTTATACTCATTTTCCCTAGAGATGGCAAACCAGAGTGCCAGGCAAGAAATTTTGTCTTGATATCAACGGGTAGCTCATCATCCCATTGTTGGCCATGAATGCGCCAGATTTCTTTCAACAATAATCGCGCTCTTACGGTATAGGGCGCTACGAGACCTATGGGGTCGAAAACGGAGGAATCAAAACTTAAAACTGTTCGCTGTGTT